TCTCATTTTTTGGACCCAGCCTCGTCCCTACACTCCTCCTAACCCTCCTAAATAGATACCATAAGGTTTTGAAGTGATTCCAAAGTGATTACTATATTTCAACAACAAAAGTTAGTTCTAGTGAAGAACAACACCTCTCTGAGGTTGTGTTGTCATTGAGGATAATTGTGGGTTGTGTTTGGCTGAAATTTCAAGTTGTTTCTACTGGCTAAGGTGAGCATAACAACCTACTAATTGTGCTTAAGCTTGGTTGGTTAAGTTGTTAGGATGATAAACTACAAGATAATACCGGGATTAGCTTGAGATGTTATTGTCTTGATGGATTGATTTGAAAGTCGCTCTTATGGACTTTAAGTGGCTAGAAATTATGGAAAATAAGCTGGCTATAATATTGTTAGTATGATTATGTTGGTTTACAAGTCAATCTTGTTGAGGAAATTGGTAATTAAGCAATGGCTATAATGTACTTGAAAGTTGTCCACGGTGACATTATCTTGTGTTAGGTTATTTTGGGTAACTTAATTGAGTACAAGGTTGGAAATCCTTTTAAAATATTAGTTATTATACTAGATATATTACTAGTTCAAGAATGAATGATAACGGGGTTGAAGGGTGCTAAAGGGATTCATTCTGAGCTTGCCGCTCGCCGTGATATTTTGATGACTTGTTAATGAAATATTGTGTACCCTATTGTTGATGTTGCTCTTATTGTATTGCTCTGGTTGTTGTTGTTGGTATATGGTATTGGAGGAGGCCCTTATTACAGGGGAGATGCTGCAGAAATTTACATAAACGAGCTACTAGTTTAAGTTGCGGACTTAGCCTTTACTCAACACTGATTTTGAATCTCCTTATACAATGGTAGATTGAGTTGGGTTGTTTGAAGAATTGCTTGGAAGGTATTATGGACTCAACGGGTTAAGGTATGCTAAGGCTATCACTTCTTTCCTTTTGGCGTGATCTATATGATAAAAATGAAATGAGTAAACGTGTAACTTTCATAAATGACTCTATTCATAGAAGTACAAGGGATGTCTATGTTCTTGATTCCCCGTGTTTCCTATTATTACACCGTTTGTTCTTAGGTCTCAGAAAATACGTAAGTTGATAAAGTTTATCCGAAGGCATAATGATCTTATGACATTCCGAGAGATCTTATTGACTTACTTTATTATGCATTGCATTCATTTATACATAAACATTGATCCATGACCAGATGGTATTATATACGCATATATTATATGTATATGGGGTATGGGGAAAGGTTATGGCGTTATATACGCACCACCACCTGATCAGCTGGTACACGTTGATGATTTCACCCACAGAAGCCGAGATGATATGCTGGGATGCCCTTAGAGGCTTGATGATGTTATGTACGCATATACCTATGCATGGTATGACATTTATACACATATGCATGACATTATAAATATTTCATGATTCATAGAGCTGTTCGAATTTACAAGTTGAGTCATTTACTCCATGTTTCTTTTATGTCCTTTATATACTGCTTTTCATGCCTTATATACTCGGTACATTATTCGTACTAACATCTTTTTTTCCTGGGGATACTGCATTTGTGCCCGTAGGTCCCAGTAGACAGGATGATAGTCTTCCTAGTAGGCTATCAGCTCAGTAGAAGGAGTTGGCATACTCCATTGCTCCGGCGTTCCTATTTGGTCAGTACGCTTTGGACATGTAATGATTGGTATGACGGGCCTTATCCCGACCTTTATGACGTTTATGTACTCTTAGAGTATTGTACAGAGTTCATGTATATGGATATTTGTATGGCCTTGTGGGCCTATGGTTTGAGTGTACAAATGATCAAGTCAGCTTTATAGGCCTGTATGTCACATGTATAAGTTTGTACATCATGTTGGGTCGTCCTATGTCGAGTATTCCCTTATGTTTTATTCTAGTTATCTCATGAAGGCCCTTCTGGCCCACTTACCCATGATGGTATGATAATAAAGATATACTACGTTGGTACTCGGTTGGGTAAGGCAGCGGGTGCCCGTCGCGGTCATGCGGTTTGGGTCGTGACAGTGGGGTGGGTGTTAGTGGGGAATAGGATGGGAAAATAAGTTCATGAGAAAAAAAAATTCCAAATTAAATTAGCCAACCAAACATGGGAAAATTCATACTAAACACACCCTCGGGTTGTTATATTTAATGAAAAGTGCAAACAAAAATTATAAGAAACACCAAAAAGTCACATCAAATCGCAGAAATAACAACACCAAAACTTACAAACAATATAAATAGATCAGAAATGGCAAAAATTATATCTCAAATATTGCACCTAACACTAAAAATAAACCAAAAATAGTAGATATTGCACCTCTAAATGCGAGTTCATTTTTAAAAAAAATTACATTTCCTGTTGAATATAAGAACTAGAGTTTGTTAAATATTTAACAAAGGCCAAAAATATATTTTTTTTTTTTATAAATTTAAAGGACCAAACTATAAAGCCCCTTACAATTTTGTAAGGCTTTAGTGGGCGTTTGGACATAAGAATTGTAAAATTACAAAACAGGGTAAAAAAATAATTCAAGTGAAAATGGTATTTGAAATTTAAAGTTGTGTTTGGATATGAATATAATTTTGGATTGTTTCTGAAGTTTTGTGTGTGATTTGAGTGAAAAATTTGAAAAACGGTCTTTTGGAGTTTTTTTAAATTTCCGAAAATTACCAAAATGCATCTTCAAGTGAAAATTGAAAATTTTATGAACAAACGCCGATTTAAAAAAAAAGTAAAAATTTTCTTATGTCCAAACGGGCTCTTAATACTTTAAAATGCACCAACGATGATTAAAGACAATATTTTGTGTGCTAAAAGAGATTACCGACTATTACCATATTACTTGGACATGATATTAACTGTCCGAGATGTATTAGAAGTGATTTAAGGTCTAAGGAGATCCCTAGAACCAAGCAAAGTTGGAAATTACAGAATAGACGAAAGATTCAAATGAGCTCACATAAATCCAACTTCAAACGAGCACAACTCTAAAAAGTAAAAGCTCTATAATTAGAATTTCTCTTCCAAGACACATTTAAATTTTTCGGAAATCGAAGCAACCATGCACGCAAGTTTTAAATCATAAAATGAAGCTGTTTACCCTAAAGTTCGAGTAACAATTAAACTTGTATTGTGATTTTAAGGATATATAATTTAATTCAACGCCAATTGATAAACAAGGGATAAAATAGATAAATTAGAGAACAAAGTAAACCAAACCAGTATGTAGGCCAAGTCTCGACCTCGACCTGCGATAGTCTCGAGTTGTGATAATAGGAATAGCAAATTATAAAGCAACCCTGATGTACAGTAAGTGAAATAGCAAGAGAGTAATGTGCATATATTTTTTTTATTTGTGAATCATGAATCTTACAAATGAATGGGATCCCCCTTTATATAATAAGGGAGACCTAAATGAGGTACAATTCTAATTATAGTAGGAAATCATATTTGACAACTGTTTAACTGCCGAAGACCAATCCATTCCGAAATTCACGGCGTGATCCCCGGCCCGTTGCGGGTATCTCGCTCTTTCCGTTACTGAATCACACCGGCACCATCTCGAAGCATGCTTTCTTCTGACCTTGTTAAGTGTTATCGACCTCGACCTTGGAAAGGAACTTCGACCTCGAGCTCGACGTCCTGGTCTTTCGACGTGGTACCACTTTTTCCATCGAAGAACGAAATCGGGTAGCCCCGATTTCACCGTATACAGATAGTCCCCTCGTTTCTTAGAATAAAATGATAAGAAACGACTTGAACCTCGATTTTCTGGAGACCCCGATAATGACATCATCCGTGTGACGTAAGTGCTCGAGGTGACCGAAACGTCCCGTCGGTTCGGTTCCCCAAACATTAATGCTTGCCAGTGACGGTCCGCCACTAGTGCCACCGAACCATCGCCGTGTATCAATAAATACAGGTTCCCCATTTAAATCAAAACTTTACGTTCATCTTCACCAATTTTTCTAAGTCTCTTCCTCTCTCCATCTCTTCTCTTTCACCGCCCGGTGATTTGATCTTTTAGCAAAAACACCAATTTTCACGTCTTTCCGCTTCCCTTTACCTGTAACAATGGCGAAAACTTCCAAGACCATCCCACAAAAGGAGAAAGATTCTTCCTCTTCTTCCCGACCGGCCGGTGACAAAACGCCGGTGGAACCACTCCTTCACGAAATTGTTCCCGGCCCTTGTGTCCTAAAAAACGACTTCAAAGTCGAGAACCCTCCGTCGGTCCCTAGCCGATGTGAACACGTATCGAGGTATATTTGCTCGATAACGGTGAAACAGCTCGAAGTCGTGAAGGAAGACTGCAACTGGGGGCCCGATGTCGTGGTACAGATCCCCGCCCCCGAAGAAAGTATCACCACTCACGTGGAGGGGTTTCTAAGTGTTTACACTTACCCCTTCACATTGGGTCATCTTGACCCAGTGATTGTCGACTTTTGCAAGATGTACCAGGTTACCCTCGGCCAGGTGCATCCCTCGTTCTGGTGCATAGTGATTATGCTCCGCTTCTTCTCGGGTAAGGCCAAGGGGTTGGAATTCACTCTCAGCCACCTCATACGGCTGTATCGACCTCAATTTTATCGAGGATTAATCAAGCTTCAACGCCGATCAATGAAGTCTTTTTTTGCAAGTATCGATGAGGACAAGGACCGAGGTTGGATGAACCGGTTCGTGCGGGTAAGGACCTACGACCTCATCCCCGAGGGGAAACTTTCATTGCCCCAGAAGTGGAACCCCGATCGTAAGTATTAGCCACTAATCTTCGTACTTTATTTTTTGCTTCGTGTAACAGAAGCTATTCATGGTCTCAAATCACAAAACGGAGTACTAGAACTCAAAAACGGGTTGTTACAACAACCTGCACTCTTTCTTTTTCCCCTCTTTTCTTTTGCAGCATGGAGATGAAATGACACTGGATTCGCAGCAACACACATACAATTCAGAAATAAGGAGATAAAAGTGATATTGGATTTCATGTACTCATAAATTATGATATCATCATCCTTTGAAGAAAGTGACAGCCTCAACGTAAACCAATACTGCACAATGACAACAAAATCAATATTAAAATTCTCCACCTAAGCTCTAGCACTTGCGCCTGAACATTTGAGACAATAAAAAATATATTAACAGAAGGCAAAAAAATACAGAAGTGTCGCTTGTCTTCCATCCATCACACTTCCTTCTGACAATAGGACAATGGTACAACATTACTATGAGGCCTTGCATGTGTTTTAGTGCCTTTAAAGTTCTTTAAAACTACATACAATGCAACATTTGCTGCTTAACTTAATCAAATGACCATCAAACATCACTAGCAGTTGACGCCACATTGACCTCTTGCAGCAGTTTTTGTGGCGTCAGATGTGAAGGGATCAATGCGCACCCAAAGCAATGAGAATATAGATGCAAGAAGAACGGACCAGACAATAACAATGGTAGGTGTACGATTCTGCCGTCCCAAAAGACCTTTGAGGAAAGGGTACAAGTGGACGATGACCCAAATGGCGAAGAAGAGCCTTCCAAATAGAGGTCCCCAAGACTGATACCCACTGTTTATGGCATATGAAACACCAGCCACAATTCCTACCATGTTCAAGATAAGGACTGTAGTTGGAGGAATGATGAGAGACGTCCATTTGAACACATAAAGCTCTGCAAAGTCTCCATCCTCATCAGATGCCTTTGACGTGACTGTGAAGTTTGTGTCAATCCCCGCAAGCACTTTCAGTAGACCTTGGAAGACGGCAAACAAGTGAGCCGATGTACCGCCAATAACCCAGAACTGTTCATTTCTCCACCAGTCTTCAATGCTCACACCACTCCACCTAAGCTCCAGTATACCAGTTGCGAAAATGGAAAGGAAGAGAAGAATGAACCACATGCTAGCATAGTTGCTTATCTGCCGAGGGTACATGGAACAGGTGCGTTAATACAGAATTTGAATGACAATTATGTGAATAAACATAAAATGACGGAAAGAAAAGATCAAGCTGACTGCATGACAGGAAGCCAAGTGACGATAAATTATCTATGGATCAGATTGATCACAACTAATTAAATGTGTCTCACTCGAGGGGACAAATTTCCACCAGAGTGGGGTAAAAGAGACCTTGAACAATGGCATCTTATCCTCTTTCTCTCTCAAGAGAAACCAAGATCAAGTTTGATTGACAAGATTTTAATCACCTTGGCTCACAATTTAAAGCTTATTGACCCTAGGTCTTAATCACCTTGCTCTAAAACTAAAAGTCATTTCCATTTGGTATCCAAATGAATCCAGACAATGACGGTAACTCGGAAGAAATCATCACTACAACAACAACAACAACAACAAACCCAGTGCAATCCCACATGTGGGGGAAGAAATCATCACTAAGAAAACAAATCATAAATTGACTAGTTCTGCACAACCTACTGCAACCCTCCTATTTTTGGTCTTGGGAATGGCAATGTGAGCAAGCTCACATGGCGGAATTTAAGAAGACAAATAAACGGTTAAATTAGTCACAATTCAAGAGAAGCTTAGAAGATGGTGAGAAAGAGAAATAATTGTATTAATTTTTGACTCATCATTAGGTCAATAGATACTGTCTATTTGCAAAGCTAGTACATTCAGCCCTTTTTAATAGGATAAGTGAGATATAAAATATCATGCTAGGACTAGTAATTACTTCACTCAGTTATTTTTGATACAACTATCAGAAAGAAATAGAAGTGTACCCTTAAGTAAAAGTGGAACTTTTCACTTACCTCAGGAACAATAAATTTCCCAGTTAGAAGACAGATGGCAGGAAGAATGCAATAAGCAAGCAGAGGTAGTGATGTGATGGGATAAACAATAGTGTTGATATATGCTATTCTCTCCAGAAGCTTTAGTTTCCCATTGTAGCCATACCATATAGGGCAATGCCTACTCAGCAGAATTTCAACAGATCCTAAGGCCCACCGAAGCACCTGGTTTAAACGATCAGAAAGATTGATGGGTGCAGACCCTTTAAATGCTGGCCGAGGAGGCATGCAATAGATTGAAATCCATCCTCGTGCATGCATCTTAAACCCGGTTAGAATATCTTCAGTAACAGATCCATAAATCCATCCAATCTAATAGAAAAGATCAAAGCTCAATCAATAAGAAAATCAATAGATCTGAGCAAAACATATTAAAATAAAGAAAATAAATTGAGGTACCTCTTTGCCCCATTCAGTCTTGTCCTCGTACCCACAGCTAATAACATGGATTGCTTCTTTCAAAAGAGTTGCAGGATTGGTTGAAGGAGGAATGCCTCCATATTCCATAAAGGTAGCAGCAACAAATACCGGAGATGAACCAAAACGTTTTTCTAAGCTCTTCTGTGACATTAACAGTGATTTTTCATCATCGTATCCTGAGATGAAACACAATAAGATCAACAAACAGCATCGCGATGATATTATACATGCATTTAGCAGCATGATCTAAGAGATAGGTAAAACAAATTGAGGACTGGAGTTGGAATATTGGCCAACTAAACCACAAACAACAGAGCTGACAGGAATTAGAGATTTGGATAGTATAGCAGCGAATGGAGGACATCATGAAAAGGGTAGCCCGGTGCACAAAGTATCTCACGTTCACGGAGGGTCCGGAGAATGGCCGCACCCAAGGGGTGTGACGTAGACAACCTACCCCTGATGCAAGCATTAGTGGCGGCTTCCACGGCTAGAGCATGTGACCTATAGGTCAACTTAACCGTTGATCCAAGGCCCCCCTTCATAGAAAGGTCAAATTTGATAACCCGTAAACACTGCTATACATTGTGGAAAAGAACTTTAGGATACAAGAAAAGAGGTTAAAATCTTAAAAATGTTTCCCCATTTGTCTTTTTCTTTGGGTATGGTTAAGGAGTTAGAAACTTCAGAACCATGTCACATACATTTAATTGAGTAGGATTCGAGTAAGGAACAAAATTTCCAAGTGATTGGACAAGTTATAAAGACATACCTTCCACACCCTCTTCTATGTCTTCCATATTGAAAATTGGGATAGTAGATTCTGTTCTTTTTGCTGCCCTCTTCTTATCAATGTACTTCTTGTTTCCATTCCTTCCCTTCTTCCGTGAGCCACAACAGCTCTTCACAATGATGTTCGGCTCCAAATCAGCCTCAGTTAATACAGGATCATACCCATATAATGCTTGCCTGTTAAAACAACATCCAGTTCCCACATACATTGGGCCCTGAAGACCATCCAACCCTTTCAAGTTGATCTACAAAAGGACATCATAAAATGAGCATTCTTGCGACCATAACAAGTAAGAACAACATAGTGAACATGTAAGAGAGACCTACATCAAAGAAGACAATATTCCGGTTAGCATATCGATCATGCAAGTCAATGCCATCAAACCGTTGAGGGAACTGAACATAGCATGTCTTCCTTCCATAAGCAGGATCCATGAAGAAACACATAGCTTCTTTAAGTGCTTTGCTGTTGTTGAAGTAGTGATCACAATCAACATTCAAAATATATGCTCCATTGGTAAGAACAGCAGAAACTCTGATCTGAAGAAAAATAAAAAATGGTGCATGAGTGAAAAAAACCTTCAAACTCTAAACTAAATTGTTATAAGGATTGCAACATGATCACACTATGCGATATGACGTATTACTCCTCTAGAAACCATGTAGATTATTATATTCAAGCTATGAAACAAATAGTTAGCTAAATAAAGTTTGTAAATAAGTCTCATAAGTTGATTACCAAAGCATTCATAGCTCCGGCTTTCTTGTGGTGCTGAAAACCTGGGCGCTTCTCACGAGAAACATAAACCAGACGAGGAAGTTCATTACCATCTGTATCAAGGCCTCCACTGTGCCCCAAAAAGACCTGTAAGGAGCATGAGCTTCAATCAATTAGGACAACGACGGAAGGAGCATGGGCTTCAATCAATCGGAAATGTCAAACAATACCTGGATCATTCCTGGATGATCCCTAGAGTTATTTCCAGGCCAAGGGGTTCCATCTTGCATTGTCCAACCTTCTTCAGGCATTTTTTGTGCTTTTGCAACAAGTGCATTGATCCGAATTTTGAACTCTTCATATTCTCTCTGCAAAGTCAAGATTATCAGACTTGAAGGTTTGCTTGTATTCAATATTCAAATAATCAATAAATTAATTTCTCTACAGCACCTTGGACTCCAGCTTCTTACAACCACAACAACCATAGTGTAATATATAACTCAAGCAAATGTGAAAGTACACACTAATTACTAAATTACCAAAGCTTAAATCTCATTCCCTACCTTCATTGCCCTGCGCTCTTTCACAAAAGAAGGCTGAATCTTGTCCTTTAAATAATCTATCTTTTGAGCAAAATAAAACTCAGGGGCCCGAGGCTCAATATTGAACTTCTTGCAGAACGGAACCCATTTCCTTGCAAACTCTGCAGTCTCAGAAAGGGCTTCAAACGTTAGCATTGCTGAACCATCATCTGAAACGTAACATGAGACCTTGTCGACCGGGTAATCCACAGCAAGGATGGACAACACGGTATTCGCAGTAATCAGAGGAGGTTCTTTCATGGGATCCACTGTACTAACGAAAACATCAATAGGTACTAACTGTGAAGGTTCTCCTTCTCTATCATATCTGACAAAACAAGAAAAAACATATTAGATGTAAATCAAATCTAGACAAGGATCGGTAACCTCATGCTGATACAGTTTTCACCACAAGAGTATTTTACCTTAAAGCCAGCCTGTCAAGGTATGTCTCACGATTGATGGGTGACCATTTTGGAAACTGATCCAGAAGCCAGGATAAGGCAAACCAAACTTCACAGATGACCGAGACTAGCCACAGAGGATAGGCATCGTTCACTGGATGAGTTAGACGGTATTGCATGAAAAAGCCCAAGATAATTAACCGCAGTATGATTACAACACGGTATGGGGTAAGGTGGGATGAAGGAATTGGCACCACACGACTAAGAGGTTGACGAGCATCATCAGCCCTGTCCAAGGTGTAACCAGCAATCGTCACATATTTGATTATCTTACTTCTTGCCAGCAAATATTTTACAATGAAACAACAGGATAATAAGCTTAGATGCCAATGAGAAATTCACTAATCAATAAGAAGTTGCTTTGGGATAATTAAAAGGAAAACTGTAAAACTGTTACCTTTCTCTTGCCGAACTCATAAGTGCATGCAAGAAATTGATAGAGAGAGCAACAAAGTTGCATAATTAATGGATACTCCAAAAAAACAATTATTTAAATCTTTCTGGGGAAGAGCTAAATTTTAAACACTTTTTTCTCATTCTTCAGTTATTAGATAAGATGCTCACATTTGCAATTCTTCTCCATTTGATCCTGTCCCTTCAATGTCTCCCCCCTTCCCTTCTGTGTATCTATGGTTCATGTGAGTCATATTCTTCTCCTGTTTTAGTTTCCAACCTTCTACCCTCTCCTTCCAATCAACACTTCCGAGCCCATAAGAGTTCAAGTCCTTTGAGGGGTCCACGATCCTTACAGGAACTGGAAAAAAATGTAAAATAGTTTTAGAAGAAAAAAGAATGATAGGATTTCATCAAATGGAGACATTGAAACAAGTTGTACCTGGCAATCTAGGATCAACATAAGGAAACGATGCTTGCTTGTCTCCTGGACCCAGGGGTACAGACATACTTCTTACAGATTGTGTGTCTGGCGTGGCACTTGGAATCTCGCCAGATACCTAACATCATCAGATATGTTCTCTTAAGTTCAATAAACTATTAACACTAAGTTCATTAAATCTAATAAATTCATAAATAAAAGAAAACAAAGAACAGGATATAACTATACACTGTTGATGTTGTACTCTTTCCTTCTGTTATTTACATGATAAAAAAAATTACTAAATATAACGATGATTACTCCAGATCGTGGCACTGTTTGGACTCCACATGAAAAGTTAACCTATGGTGGATGATGAAGATAAAAAATTAGGCATAGATTCAAAAGCAGAATCTGAAAACAATGTCATAGCATCTTCATAGAAGCTACCATGCACAGGACTAATATTTTTTGAGAGCCTTATTTAACATCAGTACATAATATTAGGAGGGAAATGCAATCTAGACACCAGAGCAAGTGAAGCAACATTACTTCATCAAAACTAAAAGGTGAAACTGAACAGCGGCGCCTTGATAGCTTCATGTGTTGTAGGGTTATTTGCCATATTAAAACACATTTGAAGTATGGTAACATAATGTACAATCACGAAAGACGAGATAAGCATATATTGTCACTTACAGACTGCCCATTTGTGAGAAGAGGGATTGGGTGCTGAGGGTCATGTCTGGAGGATGAAGACAAAGAAGCATCTTCTCCCTGCCATTGGCGTCTGGCCTTGCTATTGCCTTGGGCATAATTGAACTCATTGTCGATGTCATCAACATCATCTTCATCATCATCTCCATCCACTCGTGGACACCCTAATATTTGCACAACCAATTAACTAATGTTCATCTTAGAAACAGAAATAATAACTCAAATGAAGCAGGAAAAGAATCTTAGACAACTTATTCAGGAAATCTCACCCTTATATCTCTTGTATCTTGTCTTGCACTGGGGACATGATTGATTTCCATCTTTGCGTTCATACTCGTAACAAGACCGGCAAACAGGAAATGCGCACTCATTACAAGCAACAAAGACATCACCAATGGCATTCAATCCGACAGTATCACCACAAATTTGGCAAATCTGACTGTTCAGAGGCGTAATGGGTTTCGGCTGCATTCACAACAATCAATTAAAGCAAACAGGAACGCAATGAATTGAACAATAAGTGCCCACAAACCTACTCAATTGTACATTAATTGAATTCAGAGGCTGATTTTGGAAGGACAGTACTCGCAATCAAGTATTAATCAGATTCAACCATTTGATGATCAGTGTTGTATCAAGTAACCTAAAACTACGGATAAAGCAATGAGATCTATCCTAGCAATGTCGGGACACATTTAGTACACCTTAAATGATCAAAATTGGAACAAAACCAGATCAAGCTCAACTATGAAAAGACCCTATTAAACAACTACTAAACTCGAAAATACATCAATCTCCTACTGAATCACATAGAAAATCCTGATATTGACCTAAAGCTCAGTCTACACTTCAACCAAGACTCAATGTGTAACCAAATTCAAGGAAATTTGCGAATTTAGATTCTCAAGAAAACAAATCTGAACACTGACCCAACACCAACAATGCTTCACTGTTACTTCATCAAAAAGAAAACTAATCTGAACACTTCAAATTCAAGATGATCAACTTCTCTATCCTAAATCAGCTCAACGATCCCAACCTTTTACAATATCTCACTGCTACACACTCACACATTAGATCTGAACACCACATTCAATTGAAATTTATTAGAAATTCAGTAGCTGAAAAAGCAGAAGGAAAGATCCTAACTCCCACTATTACACATTTACACATTAGATCTAAACGCCACATTAGACTAAAAAGAGAATAAAGAAACAAGTTTTTAACTGAAAATATGAAAAGGGTAGTTTCCAAAAGCATACCCCACTATCAGAGTCATGGCGAATTCGAACCAATTCATTCCTCTTATGTGATCCAGCAACCATTCCTGCACTTGCCTCCATTTCTCTCTAACTTCTGGGGGGTTTAATACATGAAAGATCAAGGGGAAATGGAAAAGGAAATTTGGGTGTGAAGCAGCAGAGCATTTCTTTGCTTCTCTGCCAATCAACTGGTCATCACTACTTGTGATATACACTTACTATGCTTTCTGTTTTATTTATATTAGTTTTTGTTGGAAGTCTTGTTTTTTGTATTACATTATTATTGTTATAAATAGAATTCTATTTATGGCGAATGTTCATATTTAGAGAGATTTTAGGGTTTATTACTTGGTGGCTAAGTCAACCTATAGAGAGTTCTATTCCATTGTAATTCATCCCAAATTAATAAGAATTCTCTCTCTACTTTTCTCTGCAATATTATTCTTATTCTTTCATTATTTTATAACACGTTATCAGCACGAGACTCTACCGTCTCAAGAAGCTCTTTGAGAAGATTAAAGTAATTTTTCTCCTCTTTTTAATTATGGCTGACATTATGAAAAGAAAGTTCGTTGCCCTTGAAATTTCGGGCAAGAACTATATGATATGGGTGTTGGATGCTGAAATCCATTTAGATGCAATGGGTCTTGGAGACGCCATTAAAGACAGAAATAAAGCATCCACCCAAGACTGTGCTAAGGCCTTGATTTTCTTGCGCCATCACCTTGATGAAGGGTTGAAAATTGAATATCTCACAGTCAAAGATCCACTTATTTTGTGGAATGGCTTAAAAGAAAGATATGACAACTTAAAGTTGGTCACTCTTCCACAAGCACGATATGATCGGGCTCATCTGAGGCTCCAAGACTTTAAGTCTGTTTCTGAATATAATTCTGCGATGTTCAGAATTACTTCTAAATTGAAACTCTGTGGAGACACTATCACTGATTATGATATGCTTGAAAAAACGTTCGCAACGTTTCATGCCTCCAATATGGTATTGCAACAGCAGTACAGAGAGAAAGGTTTCAAGAAGTACTCTAAGCTGATTTCTCTTCTCCTTGTGGCTGAGCGAAACAATGACTTGCTCATGAGAAATCACGAAAAGCGACCCACTGGGTCTACACCATTACCTGAAATTGATGAGGTGTATTCCCATTATGCTAAGCGTGGAAAAGGGCATTGGGCAAATATTTGTCGTGTACCAAGACATTTGGTTGAGCTTTATCAAGCATCTCTAAAGAATAAAGGTCCTGAAGCTAATTTTGTCTCTGACAATGATTTTGACATCACCCACTTGGATGTGGCAGACTTCTTTGAGCGCCCTGATAGAAAAATAGACCACTTGATCGGTGATGGATCCGTGGTTAAAGATGATTGAGTAGTTTGATTTTTATTTTTACATATTCATAGTAGCTAATAAACATCATGTAATGATAGTTTTTTACATGAGTAGTAGTCATTAGTACCAATAGCAATTCGATAGCAGTTCGGAAATATATGCTGCATTTTTAATATTTGTGTTCAAGCAAATTCTTTGTTGCTGCACTTTTAATATTTGTGTTCAAGCAAATTCTTTGTAAGCCTAGTAATATGATAAAGCATCATTGACTTTTTCTTCAAGGAGGATATCAATTAAGGTTACATGTATAACTTTGAACATCTTTTTAACATATTTAATTTAGGAATTCCTTTCGTTACTTAACCGTTGAATTATTCGTTAACGTGCTAATATGACTCCAATATCTTCTTGTTTTGGAAGCAGACATGGATATCCTGCAAAGCAAACTTGGATCAAATATTTGTTTAATTGATTCATGTACGACACATACAATATTCAAAGAGAAGAAATATTTCTCTCATTTAAGTATGTGTAAGGCAGATGTTACTACAATTTCTGGTAGTAGTAATTTAATTGAAGGCTCTGGAAGAGCTACTATAACTCTGCCCATGGGAACAATACTTATTATAGAGAATGCAATGTTCTCCTCCAAGTCTAAGAGGAACTTGTTGAGTTTTAAAGATATCCGTAGAAATGGATATCATATTTGAGATAATAGATGAGAATAATCTTGGATATCTCATCATTACCAAAAATGTCTCTGGCCAGAAAAGGGCTATTGAGAAGTTTCCATCTTTGTCTTGTGGCCTGTATTGGACAAGAATTAGTGCAATTGAGGCACATTCTATTGTAAACCAAAAGGTTACCGATTCCAATACTTTTGTACTTTGGCATGATCGATTGGGACACCCTGGATCAATTATGATGAGACGGATTATAGAAAACTCAAATGAGCATCCATTAAAGAATTTAAAGATTCTTTTAAATAATGAATTTTCTTGCACTTCTTGTTATCAAGGCAAGTTAATTATTAGACCATCACCAACAAAGGTTGGAATTGAGTCCCCTGCGTTTTTGGAACGTATACAAGGGGATATTTGTGGACCTATTCACCCACCTAGTGGGTCGTTTAGATATTTCATGGTCTTAATAGATGCATCTTCTAGATGGTCTCATGTGTGCCTATTGTCATCACGCAACCTCGCGTTTGCAAAATTAATGGCACAAGTAATTCGATTGCGGGCGCAATTCCCCGATAATCCAATTAAGTCTATTAGACTTGATAATGCTGCTGAGTTTTCATCCCAAGCATTTAATGATTATTGCTTATCAATTGGGATAAAAGTGGAACATCCTGTAGCTCATGTTCACACTCAAAATGGCCTTGCAGAGTCTTTAATTAAACGTCTACAATTGATAGCAAGACCATTACTCATGAAAACGAGGTTACCCACTTCTGTTTGGGGTCACGCCATTTTGCATGCAGCAATGCTAGTTCGTCTCAGACCGACAGATTATCATAAATATTCCCCGTTGCAATTAGTTTTGGATCATGAACCTAATATATCCCATTTAAGAATTTTTGGATGCGCAGTATATGTGCCTGTAGCACCACCATATCGCACCAAAATGGATCCGCAAAGAAGGTTAGGAATATATTTTGGGTTTGAATCGCCCTCCATTATTCGCTACCTCGAAACATTAACGGGGGATTTGTTTACTGCACGATTTGCAGACTGTCGATTCAATGAGACACTTTTCCCAAAATTAGGGGGAGAAGTTGGTGAAACCAAACGGGAAATTTTGTGGAAAAATCCATCATTATCTCATCTTGATCCACGTGCCTCTATTTCTGAAAAAGAGGTGCAAAAGATTATCCATTTGCAGAGAATAGCAAATCAAATGCCAGACGCATTTACGGATTTGAAAAGGATAACAAAATCTTATATCCCTGCAGAGAATGTTCCAATCCGTATTGATGTCCCTATTGGACAATCTTCTAGTGTCATAGCTAATGAGTCAAAAGCACGCCTAAACGTGGTAGACCATTAGGTTCCAAAGATCGAAATCCTAGAAAAAGGAAAACAAATTATCAAAATGACACTACGAAAGAATCTCATGAAGAAATCCACGATTTAATAAATTATGAGATTCATGAGGAATCCACTGAGCCCGAGGCTCAAGAAAATAAGGAACTATCAATAAATCCAATCGATATTGAGACAAATTTGAATCGAATGGATATAGTGGTGGATTATGTCTTTGCATATAATGTTGCATCTAGCATTATGCAAGAAAGTGAGGATCTTGAACCTCAATCTGTTGGAGAATGTCGACAAAGACTTGATTGGCCAAAATGGCAAGAAGCAATCCAATTAGAGTTGAATTCACTTGCAAAACGTGAAGTTTTTGGGCCTATAGTCCAAACACCTAATGCTGTTAAGCCTATTGGCTATAAATGGGTATTTGTATGCAAGAGAAATGAGAAAAACGAGGTACAAAGATATAAGGCACGCCTTGTTGCACAAGGATTTTCACAAAGGTCTGATGTCGATTATGAAGAGACATATTCACTCGTTATGGATGCTATAACTTTCCGTTATCTCATTAGTTTTGCTGTCCATGAAAAACTTGACATGCATTTAATGGATGTGGTTACCGCCTACCTTTATGGCTCACTTGATAATGAGATATATATGAAAATTCTCGAGAGATTCAAAAAGCCTAAAGAAAATAATTCAAAGATCCGGGAAATGTTTTCAATCAAATTGCAAAGATCGTTGTATGGTCTAAAGCAATCAGAACGAATGTGGTATAATCGTCTTAGTGAGTATTTATTAAAGGAAGGCTATATAAATTATGCCATTTGCCCATGTGTTTTTATAAAGAAAACAACATCGGAATATGTTGTACTTGCCGTATATGTTGATGACATAAACCTTATTGGAACTCCTATAGAACTCCAAAAGGCAATTGATTATTTAAAGAAAGAATTCGAGATGAAAGATCTCGGAAAAGCAAAATTATGTCTTGGTTTGCAAATTGAACATTTGACAAACGGAATTTTTGTTCATAAATCTACCTACATAGAAAAGATATTGAAACGGTTTTACATGGATGGAGCACATCCATTAAGTACTCCGATGGTTGTTCGATCACTTGATGTGAATAAGGATCCATTCCGACCTCAAGAAAAGAATGAAGAGCTACTTGGTCCTGAAGTACCATATCTTAGTGCAATTGGTGCACTAATGTATCTTGCTAGTACTACAAGGCCTGACATAACTTTTTCAGTTAATGTCTTAGCAAGATATAGCTCTGCTCCTACAAGGAGACATTGGAATGGAATCAAACACATATTGCGGTATATAAAAGGGACTACCGATATGGGCTTATTTTATGGCAATAATTGCAGTCCCGATCTTGTTGGTTATGCTGATGCTGGGTATTTATCTGACCCACACAAGGCTCGGTCTCAAACAGGTTATGTATTTACCTGTGGAGGCACTGCCATATCTTGGCGATCGACTAAGCAATCAATTGTGGCTACTTCATCTAATCATGCTGAGATAATTGCTATTCATGAAGCAAGTCGAGAATGTGTGTGGTTGAGGTCTATAATACATCTTATTCGAGACAAATGTGGGTTGAAGTGTGACAAACTACCCACAATTTTGTATGAAGATAATGCAGCATGCATAGCTCAATTGAAGGGAGGATTCATAAAAGGAGATAGAACAAAGCACATTTCACCAAAGTTATTTTTCACACATGATCTTCAAAAGAATAGTGATATTAATGTTCAACAGATTCGTTCAAGTGATAATATGGCTGATTTGTTCACAAAATCTCTACCAACGTCAACCTTCAAGAA